TTTTTCCCGAGGTCGTGCTTGGTATTTCAGCTGGGGACATTGGAAAGGAAATTTCCGGTCAAGTGCAACTAAATGGTATTCAGCGGGATGTAATTTCGTGCATGGCCCCTAACTGAATCTTGGACAGCGCCAGTTAACTATTGAATGGTTTCTCCATAACTTGCCTACTTCCAAAAAGCTTTTCAAATCGCTCCAACAGAAAGGCATTCATTAAATGTCAACTGCTTCTCTAACTTGAAATACCTCTGAATTTTAGTGGTTACTTCTATCTTGTGTTTTACACACTTTGTGGGGAGGGAAGGTTGTTCCAGGAGCATTGCTGGAGAGCTGTAATAATCTTTACTGTGCCTATTCATATCGACATACCCAAAGTTTTTGAAAAAACAAAGGCCATCATTGCTCAACGACTCTCCATTGGCTTCATGCAAGCTGTAATGAAGTTGTCCTATTCCGCTTTTCATAGTCGAATGGAAGGGCTGCTTTCATGAAAAGGTAAAAAACGAAAGCATCGCTCTTCAACTTCCCTCTGCCACCCTGCAGATGAATCAAAAAGAATAGAGAAAACAGCAAACAAAGTGCAATTTCCTGGTGCTGGTGCTTTTCACTTGGCAGTGGCTTTTGAATGAAAAAGGCTGCGACGAGTTCCTTTTGTCGGATTTGAAATGCATGCCATCTTACTGCCAGTGGTAGTGCCACTCTAAGCGTGTCACTTTGATGGCGTTCGTTCGCTTTGGCGAATTTCGGATGCACAACTGAATTCAGCTTTACTTTGCATTTTATATGCATAACCAAAACATGCACACTTATTCTTTCGTTTCCGTTGAAGAAGGCCCAACTACAAGAAAAAGCAGTTATATTCGTTGGAAATGTGTCTGGTTGCGCTAGAAAGCCCTTTTTTCACAAAAACCCTTGAATGGGCTTCAGTGGTCATGAAGTAAGTGCTTGGAACAGTGTAGTGAAGTCGTCTTGATGGAGAAAAATGTTCACAGCTTATGTCGCTCGCTTGCAGGAAATGGAGGGATTACCGAGAGAGGGCAACGGAGTTAACCACATTCCTGGGCACAAAGCAGTGCATTCATGGCCAGTGGAACTTCGACATTTAAGCCCTAGGACGCTATATGACAAATGGTGCGACTGGCATGTGAAGAGTGGAGGCGATCGCGATCGCAGCCATAGGAGCTTTTCTTTTCTATCGAGCAAGGCTTAAGCGCTCGAGTAGCAGAACATCCCATAGCGCCTAGACTCTTCAATTCCCTCGTGTGCGCTGAGCGAAAGCTAGTGTCTCTCAGCTAATAGCCGCGCTTGTTCCTCGAAAACGCACGTCCCATTCACTTCTCAACTTCCTGTGATTACTCCGACAACTGGAATTCCTTCTTCACAACTTCTACGATTCTAAATGCCGGCAATGAACGCATTTCGTCGTCTGCTTCCAAGACGTGGAGTTCGAGATGAGTACTCATTTGAACTGCTCAGAAGCAGCTCCGCCCAAGATATGATGCCATCATCTCCTCACGCTGATTTGCCACGTTACTACTCAAACTACGACCACGTTATGCTTCACACACCTCCACCAACTTCAACCAAGGTGGGCTCAATATTTTTGGGACTTGTTTTCCTGTTTCCAGGAGAGTTCTTTTAGTAAGGGAGTTATCGGTCGTATTGCTGTATCATGGAATGCTTAATGAATGCACGAGATAGGTATCACTGAGCAGCAAAGGAGAGAAAAGGTCTTGAGCAGTCGCGCGCCAACGTCCCAGCGACGGCGTTCCCGGACATTTTCCGCTTCTGCACTTATTTTTCATTTGCCCTGAGGCTATTCGACACCCTTAATTGGGTTGATACTGCTGGCTGTTGTTTTCCATTTACAGACAGGTGCGGACGTATTGATTTCGGCCAACACTCCGCTAGTTCCACTCAGAAGAGGTGACATGCGATTCCGATATTGCTTCTTCGCCACTTTTTACCCACTGGTTCATGTTTCGCCCATCCCCTCACTCATTGTTCTCAGCAAGATCTCTGAAAAACTCATTTCCTCCTTGCATCCTAGCTAGCCAATCAAGGATATCCTATCTAGTGCTTAATCTTTTAGAAAAGCCTTTCAGAAGACAATAAAAGGAGCCAGCTGACCATTTGAGAGAGAAGTTCCTGACATGGGAGTCTTGTTTTTCGATAGGTTGTAGATGTTGTCGGCTGAGAAAAAACTGAAGCCTTCCCTATTCCATTAATACTCAGTAAGCTGTCATCCGGTCCCGGTTGTTTCAACCTCAGTTACCGCTGAGGTAACGCAATCCCAATTCAGTTTTTTTCACTCCCATTCGAAACATCATGAGAATCTATTTAGTAGGACAAAGAGAAGCATACTCCTTCAAGGAACCCAAATGGGCGATTGATAGGCCAATAAAAGCCAGCAGTCTTAACTTGGGAAATTTGAGTCTACTGAAATATGCATGTCGCACCTTATGACACATGTAAGGAATAAGCTACCCATCGAAAAAGTGTCGGCAGAGGCAGGCAACGTCCACTTTCCGCAGTCATTATTCTTTTTTTTAGATCTCGCCAGACTTCATCAGAGTGTAAGAGCTGGCACATTGCCAGAATTAGCCGTTGCCAACCATTTCTCGTAGCTTTCTGTTGCCCAGCTTCCCTCAGTTATTTCACACGCTTTTGTTTGGATTTCCTTTTGCTATATTTGCCCAATACAGTGTAGTAATTAAAATGTCTGGGTGGTTGTCACTGCAGGAAACTCCAGTGGGAGAATGGCGTGATAGTTGTTGTTTCTCGGGTGGCGTGTAATTCAGGACGTGAGGGAGAGGCGAAGCGATCAATTTTCCTCGTAAATCCTCGAATTTCTGGACGAGTGAGTTGATGCTTGTTATGAATGCCTGCTACTTATTCCTTCACAACGGCCGATTCTCACGTTCATCTCAATTAGTTCTCTGGTTCTTGTTGCTATCAACAACTCCATCTTCAGGTAAAGAAAGGAGAAACTTTACGGAGTGTAGTCAAGGTCTAGTGAATGACTTACTCACACCTATTCTAGCTTTGTCTACTTCTTGGCTGTTTTTTGAATCCGTAAGTGCAGCTTGTATGAAACGCCTCCATCCCCTTGACAGTGACTAGTTTGCTTTCGCTCACTACCACACCCCCTCGCTCCCGCACTCGCCGACTACGTCTTCAGAGGAATGTTCACGCGACAGCATACGTTCACTTACGACCCAATGCTTCATCACCCCTTCTCGGTCAGTCCTATTAAGCCAATGCGGCGATCTAGCTGCTTTCAATTACTTTTTTCCTAGGTTATTCTCTGGAAGGTCTTCATAGGGACTGTTCAGATAGAGTTGCTAAAATCGGCTCTGCTACTCGAAAATTTCTTGCTAGGACTGATTCGTAATGTTGTCATGGAAGGTTGGACTTAAGTTGGTAGTGCGGTCCACCTTCATCACCTGCATGGCCACTCCTTGGCAACGAGTACCACGACAACATATCTACGCGTTCGTAACACGCTCCACCTTCGGAAGGGCGTCTTAGCCAAAATTCGTGGTAGCACCATGCGACTCTTCTGATCGCTGCTGCTCATTGATGTCAACTTTTTCATCATTTTTTAGGCCTAAATAGTTATTCGCAGTACCTTCGTGATTTATGAAGAGCATCCCAACAACCGATTGATCCAATTCGTCTTTCAGCAAAGTCTTTGGTCTTTATGCTTGCGCAGAGAGTAGAATCGCTCAACTAACTTGTCCTAAGGGGATCCAAGACATTCGTCTCCTTGTTTTACTCAATGGGTTACCGCTTACGCCAGGAAGAAAGGGGTGGTTAATGATCATTATTACGTGAAGTAGCCGTTAATATCCGCTAAAAGAAGATAATCTTGAAGTTTTCTGCATCGACATCAATCCTCGTAATCCGTCCAGCTGTTACTAAGACGGAATTTCCTGAATTGAACATGAGCCTTTTCTCTAAAAAGTCTAAGGAGTCATGCATAATGCTTTTCCAATGTATTTTTTTTCAGAGTCCTGAAGAGACTGACGAACTCGCTTCCGGCGACCCTGACAATATGTCAGAGACGTCGGCGCTGATCGGTTTCGTCTCGAGTGGCAGTTCGGGCTGCAGCTATGGGTTAGTTGATTTCTTAGCCTACTATATAGCTTCCCGAGATCTTGCCCGAACAAAAGCAGAATGGAAAGCACTTGCTGTCACGAGATCGCCTGATAAGCTTGTGCTCCTTTCCTGTTGACTTTCACAGTGGTTATCCAGAAGCACTTGAGCCAAAACTACTTTAAAGAGTGCACAGAACAGCTAATGTAAACATGTCCCTTGGAGACACAATTTCAAAGAAAATGCAGAAGGCATGGCTCAGAATGGGCTGAGAATCCTAGAGTATATGAGCCTTGTCTCGCACTGCTTGGTGAGCACCAATGATTAGTCCTCAAGATGATCTAGCCATTTCAAAGTCTATTAGGGACTACACAGCTGAAGTGTCCCCCATAAATGGAAATTCTGATTGCAGTTTTGCTGCTGAGGATCCTATCTACGAAAAAGCGATCGCCGAATGCTGTGTCATCAAGGAGAATCCGTCGTTTTCCGAGGGAATCCTTTTGAAGTGCGTCGACAAACAGCGTGAGTTCATCTATTTTTTCTATACTGCCATTGCCAACTGCTAGGGAGCCTCTCGATCAACAGTTTAACCAAAAACAAGTCGGGATGAGAAGAAAAAACGCTTGTTTGCATGCAATCCTAAGAGCTGAATCTGAAATTCAAATTTTGAGAACTCTTTCGGAATAGCTGTTCCTATGCTGTCCTCCAGTGGTCCCTAGTTTTCTATGAAAATCAACTTTTCCGCGTTGTGAAGTTCATTCATTGAACTTGCACCCAGTCTGCCCCACAATCTTGGTTTCCCCATTTGTTGCCGTGACCTAGGATCGTATATAAGATTCCCATGAAGGAAGATCAGCTTGAGCTTATGTCATAAATTCCGTTTGAATTAAACTTCTCATGTGCTAGGATCAGCCCAGCAAACCAAAGATTGAACTGGTAAAAACTAAAAAACTACATGCAAAGGAAAAATCCCCAGTTTCGGGATTTTCACCCATGTGAGCGCTCAGAGGCGAACGTGCCACATTCTCAAATCAGATTCATGATCCTGGAGGGAGGGATCATCATCGTTGGTAGTAAAGGGGCTGTATGAGCGGAGAAGAGCACAGAAGAAAAAAGAACCAAACTGCATCGTCCATCAACACTTTTTTCGGGGATGGACGGCGGAGGTCAAAGTACTTACTTAATGGGAGTTCTTCAATACGCACGTCGTTTTTTCGATGAACTATGAGTCTTGCTTTTTTGAAAGCTTCGCCTGCCCACGCAGCTGCCTATTTTTTGTACCTTCGCGGAGCGAGTTATACCTAGCAACGTGGGCTTGTAAAGGAAATGACGTGTTGCAGTGAACCTTGAATGAAACTACTACATTGCCTAAGCCGGCCGATATTTTGGGTTGTACAACGACAAGTACAAACCCCAACGGATAGGCCAAGTAGGGTATCGCTCTGAGTGAAGCTTACTCAGAGCATCACCTTTCGTCCCATTGGTTATCGAGCGAAAACTCACAGCGTCGTCGTCATGATAAAATTCTGGCGGTCGTCCTACTATTAGTTTGACCTCTGAAGGATCCAGTCAGTAGCCGTCCTAGTCCGATGGTCATCACAAAATCGCAAAACGTGTCCGGCCCACCTGATCTTCAATTCCTTGCCGTAACCAACGACGTCACTGATCTTTGCTATACCTATGGCTTGAAATGATTGTTCTAACAGCACTGGAGAGTACACAGTAGTGGAACAAGACATTAAACTAGGGAAGTCATTCAGCTCTACCCGCACTAAGCTCTCGAACCGAGGCGGCTGGGCGATATGTTTCAGAGACATTCCAAGACCTAAGATGCCGAACCAAAGAGAAGACTGTGCATCAGGTTACCGTAGCCGTTGCAACTTGCAGCCCCAAGGGCAGATCAAAGCAGTTTTTAGTCCAAACAGACTCATTAGATGTTCGGCAATCAATAGTATGCTAGATACACTAACTGGATTGCATCGTATGTGTTTAATCGAGTACACGATATTGTTCGAAGTTTACAGCTCAACTACTGTAGAGCGATCTATTTTCTTTCTGCAGTAACTAAATGTAAGGCATTACAGAAAATCAGTCTTCTCCGTATTTATCTACACTTGTTTAAATTAACCCTCCAAGGGACTATTAAAGTGGTCCCTTTTATTTTTTGTAAGAATCCCCTGGGCTTCGCTCTGACTCTCTTCGACTTTCTCGTATGCAAACCTTCCCCTCTTTTCTAGAGTTTCTCGCAAGTGGCTATGGCTTCCTGAATGGACCCCTGCGACTCAATTCTAATGAATCGAGGAAATGTACTTTCCTGTAAATATCAGTAACTTCATAATTGGAGAGAACCAATTGTACGCACTATCGTCGTGAATGCGTTCTATCGAGTATTTTGAACGCTCATTCGCATGCCGGAACTCTCCGATTAGGTAATGGTACCTCTGAAAGAAAATGATTGACTGCTCGTCTGACAAGTAAAATGAATTGCTCTTATTACCGAAAGTGAAGTCAAGCTCGGCCCAGGGCCAAGTGCGGACTCGTGGATATTGTGACAACTGCACCACCTACACTAGAACGGGTCCCAAAATGATCCCTTCCCATCTGCTTGTCATTCACTAGTATTTTCGGAACACTTCTGTCGTTCTTGGAAGCAGATGATTCTCTTAACAATCATAACGGACACAAACGGATTGCTAGCGAAGTAGACCTCGATTTTGTAGTAATCAATGTAATAAACGCAGTGAACAATTGGAATATAGAAAATCAGACAATTTCGCAAATCTCCTCGATCCGGAGCGCCAAAGTACGTGGAGTACAAAAGGCTAAGTCCCATGAGAGAACAACACTTGTTTTCACTTTGAGGAACATCAAACTTCTTAGATCTCTTCGGGCTACTACTTTTTCAGAAGACGCAAAACTCTCAGTAGATTTGGAATTTTTGAGATTTCTACTTTCCACGATGTCTATTCACTTATGTTGAACGATTGCTGAATTGAGAAAGCTTTTTGTTACCGAGTTATCGTGGGAAATTGAATGCTCATGCAAGTTGTCGTTCTTCTTTCAAGGATGACGTTCTGCAATGTTGCAGGCAGATTCGCAAAGCATAAAATTCCAAATTTCGAGCTGCCTTTCACTTGATGATATTTATGCCAATCTTGCTAGAGCAGGAGCATTGTCGTTGCAAAATTCGTGCAAAGTTAATTCACAAAGTGTCGATTTATCGAATGGCTAAATGTGTGGAATTCACGCACTTTAGTGTGACGCCTAAAAGATTGGGTGAGGGAGTAGCCGTGTGCTTGTGTTTAACGCTGATGACCACCTCAATGACGAGCAACAAACTTTTCAAAATTAGTTCACTACTCAGCGTCTGCCAGATCTATTTTTTGGGTTCCGGTATCTTCTCCCCGAAAACGACGTCCTGTCCGCCGCATCCGATCGTGTTGAATTTAAAAGGTTTGACTTCCTAGTGAAAGGATAAGGTAGCCGCACGTGATCACTGCCGCTTGCCGTGGGAATTCAGGGAAAAGTTTCCGCACCCTTTTTTTTATACAGACTATTGTCACCATTTCTCCAATGAATGTGAATGATAATGAAGGAACACATTCGGATTTAATCAAAAATATTTGCCTTTCTAATTCTTTCTGCACTTGGAGGATAGTCTTTGCATTGAGAAACCCCGTTTTCCACCTCCTCTGAGCGCATTATTTTGTTGACCGCTGATTGCTCACTCTACCATCCCTTCCCCAGAAGATGAAGTGCTCAAGATTTGAGCTCATAAATTCCCGTGTATCCTAACTTTCATTTCTTGCAACCACTCATATTACCTGACACCTAACTCTCAGAAAGAGCCCCCAATATGACAATGAAGCCTATTCTTTTGAAACGTCTCGGTCCCTCAATTCCATTTCGTTATTTCCAAATCAAAGCACAAACTGATGGCTGGAGTGGGGGTTGCTCCTCGTGACGAATTCTAGGAAACACTTGGATCACAAAAGGAAGATTTTCTTTTTGCTCCATTTCCGCTTCTTTCTTCTGGAGTGACGCTTCACCCCTTGCAGACCGCCTGCACTAGCCGATTCGAGCATTTGCAACTATTTGACCATTTACGAAAAACGAATAGTGGCTTGCCAGGAGGTAGGATTAGCAGAGCAGAAAAGCCAAAGACTATAAAGGTGGTTGGAATATAAATCAGCAGCAGGTTCTGATTTATGTGTGGACAGTGGTTTGGTTAAATAGATAGGGCTTGTCCTCAAGATCGAGGGGTGTAAGTGGGATACATATTTGTTGTCAAGGAATGCCGCCTACAAATATGTAGTCATAGAATCGAACCCCAGAGTGAAAATTTTGCGGAGTGAGTGGGAACATCCTAGAGCAGGATTAATTAATGTCGAAATTTCAATCTTTTCATTTTCATTAACCGCAACTTCTTTTTTCTCAGGGACCGGGATCTCTGTTTGGAAGCCAAGAAAATTGCTATTGATGCACTTTGCAGCAAGGGTTGAGCCGCACCAAAGGCTCAACTAATGCATTTCCTAGAGAGAACCTTCAAAGTGTAATAAAATACCATTGTCTCCAACTAACGATAGAACTTCGGTCAAAGGCACACTTCACGATAGAAATAATTTCTGTGGTCCTCCTTAAGATGAACTTGTTGCCTCCATAGGATAGCACTCGGGGCATGGTGGGCTCAAAAAACGACCTCGACAGAGCGTTACAGGAGCTCCAAAACCAGTTGGTCGACGTGCACGCCCAAAAGTGGCCGTGTTACAACGGCCTTGTTAAGGCTGCACCGCAGTGACGTTAGAGTGCCAAAGAATAGTACGCCAATTGGGGCGACACCTAGGCGATCACAGACACATAATATCGTAAAACCGCTTCAAAGTCTGCCAATTTTTGGTTATTCGTCCACATTTTTGCGCTATTCGCTCATTACATTCATTATTTCCTCTGTGGAGCAGTTATTTAAGCCTTCAATGTTCTATTAACTCAGTATTGCCCAATGATTCATCAAAGAAAGCCCGGATGTGACCAGTGCCTGACTAAAATGGATTGTTTTTCAGCCATGTTTCCCTACTTACACTTTGCTCAGTTCCACTCAACGGATCATCACCAACGGCAACGCGAAATCGACGACGTTGTTAAGGAGTGTCGCATCTTTTCGGGAAGCTTATTCGGTTGGTATTTTGTGACCTTTTTAGGGGTTATCCGAATGTAAAGAATACTCAAATTGTAAAAGTAGAAGAGTCAAGCTTCAAATAAAGTGTGTAGGCAGCTGTACATCCACTGATGATTGGTTCCCAAAAATAACTTCAAATGGCAAAAAAACAACAAAAAAAACAAAAACTGAATATGGGGTGAGAAGATGAAAGTGCCCACTCGTTGTTGTTCCCTTGTGAATGAGACAACAGATTGACAACAAATCTGAGGAGTTCACCTTATAAAGGCGAATTTTCTAGAATTTTGGCTTTGAAAATAGACATTCTCTTCTAAAAAAAACCTGCTGTAAAGTGCCCAGAGGATGGTACGGATGGGATCGCTCATCCAGTTTCCAGCTACTGTCCAAAAGTCTAACAGGCTACAACCTGGCCCCTCACGATTGGCGAAATAAACATTCTGTAAGGTATTCTCTCTCTATTCTCTCTATTCTTCTCTATTCTATGCTCTCTATTTTTCCCCAGAAATTTAACAGTTCATGAGGTTAGTCTAAAGAATTCTCAGCGGTCGGTTCATCTTCTTCAGAAGTCGCTTTGTCATTTACTTTGACGAAACATTGAGTTGAGGGATCTCAGTGCAAGTATCATTTTGGACCGATCTTGAAGTGCAATTCTGTTTTGATACCGTGTATAGCAAGCTCGGAGACTAGTACGACTAGCACTTGGCAGCCACTCAACTGTGTGCTAATGTGAGGTCAAGATATGCGCTTGACACGCTTCGCTGAGCTCACCCACTCGATTACAGCCAACCGTTAAGGAATCACTTATAGCCCGCTGAAAGTTGAAAAAAATTGTTTAACCAGGGAGTGAGCAAATTGGAAGCCCATACGCTCTTCAAAATATTTTGTATCGCTCTGGAAAAAAAGATAACTAAATGCTCTGATAATTGCAATATTCCCGCAAACGGTTGGATGTTTTTGAGTATATTGCTGAAGTTTTGCGATCCCAGAGCCATTCATTGGCTTCTTTTAAGACGGATGTTGGATTGACAGAATGAGTACTACCCTTAGCTGCCTAGGTACGATACATTTGATATTGTAGTTTATTGCAGGCGCCTACGAAGAGGTTTACTCGATCCAGAAAACGACTACGTCTAACGATGCACGACTTCCATCAAGCAGACATGCTGGATACATTGTGGTCGGCTTCAAAATTCTCGACGACTCTTCCAAGGTGGGGAGAATTCTTCAACTTTTTAAGTTTTGGGACTGATTATAGATACTTCCACATTGTTACACTATCTCTAACGAAATGTTTTAGTCGCTGATCTAGAATACAGAGATTGTCTTTTAAGCGAGGGCGGCGAATTTGGGCGGAGTTTCCTGGGATTAGAGGAATTTCCCTTCTTACGTAAGGACAATGTAGTCTTTTACGTAGAATTCACAGATCTACGTATTATACGACAAACCTGGATAGCACGAGGTTAATTCTCATGACAGCGATAATTGAAAGCTCGGACATCTGCCCATCATGTGATTCTGAGTGAGTTGGAGCTTAATATGGAAGAGATGAACCTTAATCATCATTTTGAAGATTTCCATTTCGAAGGGTCTCTCCGTTGCGCCTGCAGGGCCTCTCCGTCGCGCTCAAACTATTCCATTGCTAGCCGACACCAGCGTCAGTGCCTACGACTGCGCCATGTGTGCAAAATGTTTCAGATGCATTGAAGGGCCCATGTTAGTTTGAGTGAATAGATGTATAAAGGGTAAAGTCTTGAGGCGGTAGTCAATCTCGTCTGAGTACGCTACCACGCATTCGTCTCCCATTCACAATCGTAATGGTGCATAGAATGCATACGTGGCCTACACAATGACTTGCGGTGGCCATCCGATACACAAGTCGGTGCTTCTATCCTCCCAGACGAGTCTGGTACCTATTACTTGACCCTAGAGGGATGGAAGGTTCGGTAAGACTGGGCGTACATCGAACCCGTGGCCATGCGTGTGTGAAATGGCCACTTGCCACTATACCACCTCCGCCCTTTGGTTAGAGTAACTCTCCTTGAATGGTTGGTACGATAGTGCCAAGTATGTAGCGACAACGTCACGGGTATCGTCCGCAGACTGAAATCCGGCCGATTTGCTCTCGTTTCGCACATTGGATGCGGTTATGGGCCAAATACGTAATCAAACGCTACTCGATTTCAAATATGACGTTGCGACTGCATACCAAACATGTGACTGATCTCGCTTATAGAAATTCTGACACTCATCTTTTTTATGTTATTCGAAAGCAAATGTATGATACGTCAATCTCTGAGTTCTTCGTATTGGCAATTATCTCTCGCTTTGCTCTGCAGTAGCTTTTGAGCATTTCTTCTCTCTAGGTTGTCTTCTGATGTCTCCCTTCGTAACGCTTTTCTATGACGTCATTGTGTATTCATGAGAACGTCAATCATCCTAAGTTCTTCGTAAGCCGGGATCTTTCTAAGCGGGGGGTTCTTGGGCTTCTCAATTAGTGCCCGAACGTTTCACCTATTAATCCGCATACGACGATCCTTTTCTGAGCTCCCGAAATCAGCTAAATATGGAAGCTACAACATCAATATATCTCTTTTCGTTGTCATTTGCTCAACAATCCAGCTTTCACACCTTTTCTCGTATGTTGACAGACCTCACATTGCTAATTACAAGGCTTTTTCAATGTGCTCTGTTGACATGCAAACAGGAATGGGATCCCATTTCATTGCCGGCACCTTTTAGATCACCTAAAAACAAAACGTCAAAGAATCCTAGAAAGCTGCTCTTTTTTCACCAACTAAACATTCTCAAAATGGGATCCATGAAATGAAGATTCTGACAAGCGGCTTCTCAGCTTCCAAGCCTGCAAGGGTAGTTATAAGCAAAATTTGTAATAATGACGAAGAAAAGCACTCACAAGCCGTTCCTCACCATGACTTACCAAGATTTCCGTTTTCAAATGAAATTAAAAAGATTTGAGTACCTCTGTCGTCAGCTAAACATTGGTATGCGTCTACTGCGGCGACGAGATAACCAGATACTCCGTTTCCGATTTGAAATGAGGAGAGAACACTCATGCTATTCAATTTTTTTCAAATGAAATGGTACATACTACATACTTGGTAATACGGAAATATTTTAGCGGTAACAACTTCCTTGATTTTTGCTTCTTTTTTTTCTTAATTTCAATATTCACTGGATGGATGCCCGTTGACGTCTCGCCACTTCAGTGAATCGCACACCGTCGCCGCCTAATTTAGTAGGCGTCAAAGAAAAAAAAAACGATGCTGAAGAAAAAATAAAGAGGCCGATTTAATTTACAAGTCAATGAAAAGTTTCTCACGCACGAAGCGAAGCTGTACAAGTCCAGACTTGATTGGTGAAGGAGAGGAGAGATGGGTTTCCCTGGCAAAGGTTGGATTTGGGCCTTCAAGTCGAGTGATAGAGGGCATGTTTATGGTCACAGGCATATAAGAGCCCGAAAAAAGTGAGGTAGAGATAAAATGGCCTGCGCAGAACAGTGTGTTAGTAATGCATCTTGTGAGTAAAGAGCAGAAGATAGATTCTTTGACGTTGTGACGATTAATCGTTTGTACAATTTGTGAAAGTGACTTTACTCATTCGATTCCGAAAAGTGATTGCAAAATTTCTTGGAGCAAAGTCATCTTCTCATCATTCGTTGTAGTGGTCCACTATATTCTGAGGGTTCTTCCCAGTCCGTGAGACACCCAACGATGAAGTTTTTTTGCGTCAATCGAGTCCGTTTTTATGATGCACCACCACATTCAATCTCTATTCAAAGTCGCGATGCCGTTTTGAATGAGTATCTGGCGTACACAATGAAATGGTCATGTGCGATTCAGTACTTTCACCTCCCTGACCAGTCTGATATCAATTAGCCTTCCCCGAGCGGACGAGGCTTGGTTGGCTTGTACGGCCATGAGTGTGTGATAGTTCTCCACGGGTCATTGCATCGCCTTTGTCCCTTGTCTGGCATATTTCTTTAGTTAATCTTCGAAACATTTCGCTCATTTAATCTTCACGGGTAGAATGCTGCTCTGGAAGGTTCCCCATCTGGGAGAACTTCGAAGGTCATTATCCGTTCTTTTCTTCTCACAATCAAAACTTTCCAATAAACATTTTTTCTTGTTTACGGTAACCTTTGCTGACAAGGGCCTCTATGCCCGCAAACATAATGTCAACAGTGACCAGTATAAAATTACTTTTTTCTAACTAAGTCTTGAATGAATCCTCCCTCCTTTCAGCAGCACGCGTTGGAGAAGTCTTGGCTGTCCTGGTCGGGAGCGCGTGAAATTTACAAACATTCGCCTCGTGTGTGGAACCTCAGAAGAATTTCTCTTCGCAGAAACGTGCCGATGTTTGTTATTCAGAGTTTCTTCAATCGCATATGCTACACTCAAGAAAATTTTTCTCAGAAGCGGATCATCCTCACGCCCATTCGCCTACATTCTGATGTGCGAATTCAGCTCTATACTCCATCCCTCAAATACCATTCAGGCTTTGGATATGTGCGAGAGATTGCGTGTTCGAAACTGCGGTCACATTGCTCTTTATCAAGTGAGCTTTGTCGATTATGTTTCGTAAAAAAAAAAGCTGAATTCCGCTTCTCAGGTACACACCTCCTATAGTACAGTGTCTACAACTGCAAGAAAGCCTTACTCCAATTCACTGGCAGCGGTCAAACGTCAAACGATGATGAGAGGACTCAGCCATGATGTTGCATCCATTCCAAGTGAGACGACTGAAGAACGACGAGGTCGACTGAGAGTACGAGATCACAGCTTTCAGTACTCTGATGAACACTACACCAGCTATCAATGAAAATGGTAAGCCCATCTCCACCTTTGCTATAAAAATTCCCCCCCCCCCNTTATGATGAGAGACTGATTGTGAGAAAATGAGAAAATAGGCGTTTCGTGAATTCTGAAACTGTTACTGAGTAATATTCGTGCAGAGCTTGCTAGGGAGAGCGGCAAATAGCTGTTAATGGCGATCAGCGCCTTTTTCCATACTGTACCAAAGTGGAGTAGAAAAATGAAAGACGTCTGTGATTGGCTAAGGTGCGCTCAGCCAATCACAGGCGCTTGAGCCAACCACGCCTCTTTTACGCGTTCCGCCCACATCTTTCTCTCTCTTAATCAAAGGTCGAGCCCTTGACGCTAACTGGATCTTCGAAGGAGAGGAAGATTCTGCTTACTGTGTTTTATTGTGAAGTCTAATTGACCAGTATCGATATTCAGGAGCTGATCGCCGGCCTAATCCTCCCAGGTACATTCACTTCAATACCTGGTCTCAGAAAAGGGTCACTGCTGTTGAATGTTTACGAAATGTAATATTTCACATTCATATCCCCTGAAAAGCATATCCATGGTTCTCTACGCGTATTTGAATTAATCTTGATCCTCATCACAATTATGGTCTCTGGCACTAGCTGTATAAGCACAGAAATGCTGGCGGACTGTTGCTCCTTTATAACTGCCTCTTATGATAGCCTATGCCTACATACGTTCTCGGTAATCCTCACACTTGATGTGGTTGTAGTATTTTTTCGATTCACTACTGTCTGTGATCTGCAATAAAGCGTCCTTCTCATGATATTGTCGAAAGCAGTCACTTTTGGGAAGAATATTTCCAGTGAACCAGGTATATCTACATCAACTGCTACAACTTAAAAGTATTAGTGCAGTACATAGCTTTGCATAGCAAAGTAAAAGACAAGAGCATGAGAAAATGACTCTCCGTTATTTGCTTTCAATAGTGTCAGAAAGCATCCAGGACTCGTGCACAACGTACTTCTAGTCGGCTGGTGTAGCGGCAGTAATTAGAATATTCATCGAAGCCACTGTCAATACCAGTTGGAGACTACAAAAAAATCTTAGGGGAGAATAGTATAATACTTGTAATGGTAATAATAAAATGCCCACACACAGAAATCCCTGACGAACTTCCCCTTAGGTGAGGCCCTAACTATAGGCCAAAGTATCGCGGAAAGCTAGCTCACGATTCCTCAGAAGTTTAAGAGCTGAGCTGTAATGAAAACAAGCAATATTTCCCATAGCTCCGCAATGGCTGCTTTCATAGTTCGCCGGCCGGCCGGCGTGCCACGAGGCAGTGCTAGGGGATGAGGGCGGCAGACGGTCGGTCGAAGGGTTGAAAACAAAGAAGAACAAGATCAAAAACCGAAAAACCAGGGGCTTGTACAAATGGTTTTTGATCTTGTCTCTCTTTGTTTACAGCCCTTCGGAGGGGCTGACCGACCGTCCTTCGCAGAACATTTAGTTTGTTTTCGCTTAGAGTCATAAAGGTTCAATTATCCAAGTTTGAGGACAATCGACAAGAGATCGCGTAGCACTATTGGTAGAGAGCCGAGCAATTTCACAAAGGTCGCTGTGTACCGATAGTAGATGTTTTGGGAACCCTTCCTCGAATTCCTGGAGTTTTAAGGGAACTTGAAGGGTTAGTCACTGAAGTCAGAACACATGAGGCCAGCGGGAGGTGAGCATCCAAACTGATAGCCTCTATTTGGCCATGGATCTCATTGGTCTTCCGAAAACCTGACAAAAGACGAGTTCGGTTTTGAGCAATTGAGAAATAGCGTCCGCTCGAAGTATTCGAGTTCAAGTTGAGCTTGGGACGTCGGATGCACCTTTTTTCAATTTCGATTAACCCACTGACGACCATGCAGTCCACATGTGGACTGCAGTTGTATTTTTTGTTTTATTCATCTATATTTCAACTTTTTTGCAGTTTTTCTATTCGAAACATTACATCAGGTTTAAATGAAAATACTTAAACCGTGATCCTGGAAAATCTTCTAATTTTGCAAATGTAAAGGTGTTTTTTCGAAGGAGTACATTACCTTGGTGAATTTTTCGTTCGTTGGACAACTTCAAAAAATAAGATTTTTCGAAAACACGGTCGTCATTAGCATCTTGTCTGTCATCGACCAAATGCAGAGCTTATAAAAGTTCCCCCAAAACTGGTAATGATTGAACTGATAATTGAATGAAAACTAGACTGAGTGCAGGTTCTATAAAAAAGAACAATAATCACTCAGTGTGGGCATTGTTTTCAAATCCATTCGAAGGAACATTCCGAAAACTTACAAATATCTCTTATAAACTTCAAAAAAATGGTCATGGTGGACCATGAGAGTGGACGAAAAGCGCGCCGGTCCCTTGCGGCGGTATTCCCGCAAAACGCCATGGTCGTCAATGGGTTAAAATCTT